AGTACTTAACTCAGAGCTGTGATAGAGTCAGGCTTGAGGAAGGAAAGGAATAAGGAGAGGTACTTCAGGGACTAGAAACAGCAGGCTCACTGAATTTACAGAAGAAAGGGAGAGGAAGCAGCAATTGGAGGGGCAAATGAGGCCAAGTATGGGTTTAATATGTGAATAAGGAAAACATGCCTTTATTGTGAGAATTGAAAAGGTACCTAAGAGTGAGAAACAAAGAGCAAGAGTAAGGAAGGTGATAAGAGCAGGATGGGGGAGATGAGGAGGTGGGATGTGACATTGGCATAAGTGCAAGTAGAAAACTTCTGCAACTGGGACACAGAAAAGGAGGTGACTGGGGATGGGGAAGGGGGGACCAGCCAAAGGCAGCTGGGGAGAAGAGGGTGAAGTTTTTCTTTGCCATTTTTCGCTTAGAATAATTAGGTGAAATTTTGTCAAGAGATAAAGTGGAGGTGGGATGAAGGAAAGATTTCAGGAAAAAGCCAAAAACAGTAAATAGTGGCTATGTTTATCAACATGGTTCAATTAAATGCAAAAAAACCAACATGAGACATTGGACATCAGCATGGAAAGAGGTACATCACTCAGGGATGAAAGAACATAGAATATGCAAGATCAGCAAGGGTACAATGAGGAAACAGTTAGTAACTACCATATATTAACTGTAGTAATCTCATCCCATCCCAGAATTTAATTATATCCTTCTCTTTTTGCTAGCCAGCATATTTAGCTTTTTGTGTCTGCTGACATTGGAACTGTATGTATTTGTGTAGCCAAATGTTTGTATCTTTACTAAAGCATTCTGAAAGCTAAAATATTAAAAAGGATGCAATGAGATTTAAAATTTTCCCTTCCTATCCATTCTTAGAATATTACATCCATTTTAATAAAGCGTATTGCAATCTCCCTATGTTTTACAGGAGGACAATTAGGAGAGTATCAGTTGTTATAATACAGCTAAAGTAAGACAAGTTCCTAGGTTAACGAAAAGTCACTAACAGCCATGGATATGGTCATAGCAACTTCTTGCAGTCCATTGCTGAGCCTTTGGCAATAATGAACAGGTAAATTGATATGGCAGAAGAGGGGTAGAAAAGTAATCAATAACTTCATGAAGCACTGCAGGTGGTGAAATTGAAAGATACCTTCTAGAAGATAAGTGTACCTACTGTTCACAGGGTGAGTGGCTTCTAGGAGGGAGAAAAAAAGGACAGCCCCATAGTGAGCCCCTTGCAAGAGCACAATTTCTCTGGAGATCATCCATTGCTATGTAAGCAAAGAACTTTTCGTAGGCATCAGCTACTGCTTAGGCTATAGGTGGGAAAATAATAGACTGCGTTTCTGCTTAGTAACTGTTCCTTGATCCTTGCAGCCCTCTGCACAAATTGCCTTCTCTTTTCAAGGGTCTGATTCAGCTAAGTGGAAGTGTTAGCACAAGTAATGACTTTCTGGGTAAGTAAGAATCTGCAGGAGCTGGCAAATCTCCAGGGCAGTCACCATGGGTTACAAGCAAACTGCAGGGAAAAGGTTGAGTTAACAAAAACCTGTGCAAAAATGGTCAAGTATTTTGGAACACATTTGCATATTCTGTTGTGTTACATTGGGATAACTTGCTGTTAGGTGGATCTGTGTAAGCTAGTAGCTTAATGCACAATTTCCTGTTGAAAACCAGTCCTGTAAAAGTGCTTTACAAACCTATTCAGTAGCAACTATAACAAAAATTAATATTTTTGTATAAAGCAAGCTTTAAGTAATCTTATTTCTATTTATTTCCATTTTTCAGTGACTTAAGTTAGCTGCTGTATTCAGTTATTTTTCTGTGTTACACTTGAAAGGTCCTCAAAGTGTATAAAGCAGCATGTTGCAGCTGGTTATGCTGCTGTAAGGTCAGAGACCTTACAACCATGATTTACCTAGTGGGCTGCAAAATCTTAGGACAGGATCTGTCCCTAGTGTTTTCCAACAGCAACCAGTCAGACCCCAGTCTTGGCTGGAGATTGTTACTGAAATGCAATTTAAAATAATTTTTAAATGAAGTAGCAACCAAGTAAAAAATAATTTTCTTGTATCAGAACTGAAAAGCTGAGTATCAATTGCCTAAGGACTCAACTAATGAAACCTTTGCTTATTTTTTTATCATTACTTGACTCACAATATTGGTTAAGGCTTTGTGAACAAAGTCAGTTGGTTTTCATTCTTTGTACTTTACACTGTTGCTATAACAAAGTCTTTTCTCCTGAAGCATATTAAAGAAAACCATTATCCACATTTCGCACAGACTCACTGGATGCACTTGGAAGGAAAACTTGCTCATGGCATAAGCAAACATATGTGCAGCCTGTGGTCTGCCAGGAATGAGAGCTGCAGTTCAGGATGGGTTAATTCCCTAGTGAAGACATTTGCAACAGCAGTTAAATGGGAGTAGAATCAAGTCCTTTGTAAAATACATTAAAAAATCAGAGGAATGCAGGAGAAATGTTATCAGCATGTAGCAGTCTGCCCAGCTAACAGTTTGCCTTATCTAATTACCTTTAATATAGTTGTATATTTATGAGTAATTCTTGCCTTAAATGACTGGTTCGTGCAGCTGCTCTGCTATTTTGTGATCTCCGACAACTGTGGGAAGTTTTATAGACCAGGTTAATCTTTGCAGTTAGCCTCTGGTCAAGACTAAGTATGTGGAATCCAGGGTTTCAGAGGTAGCCTTTCCTAGAGAAGTTTTTGAAAATTGCTTTCCCATCCTTTACCGTAGGAGAGGCTAAAGCAGGGCTGTGTGAGCACCAGTTGCCATAACAACGGGGACTGTTGCTGGCTTGGACCACAGCTGCAGTCTTCAGCTCTTATATTTACCAGGTATGCAGCAAGTTAAAAGCTCAACAGAAATTCATAAGCAAGCATTAGGTTTGTAAATGAATAACTTATTTTGTGAAGCAAATAGTTTCTTGTAAATTGGACTGCAGAGAACTATTTAATAAAAAACCTGTTCTAGGTTGAGAGCCAGGAATACATCAGTTTTGTCATGGGAGCATCAGTATCTCTTCATGCTCTTATGCCCATTTACTACTGTTCTTTTATTAAGGGGCTGGTATGTTTAAGAAATAATTATAGCAGTGATTGTAAGACGTGATCTTTTCAGGAGATAATCGTATTACAGTTTTACAGTAAAAGTGAATAAATACAGCCTTTTCCTGGACTGTAGACGTCTTACAGTAATTCCCTATTCCATATTAGTCCAGACCTTGGGTATAATTATATGCTATTTTCTAAAGGATCCCATTTTAATACTGTTTCTGGATTTTAATTATATGACCTCTGCCATTTCAGTTGTGTCTAGCTCTGCAGAGTGTGTGGTGCTAGAGGAAACCTTCCTAAATCACAGAAAAAGGAGAATAAAATTTGAAATATGGGATGTTTCATAGAGAAGGGGGAGAAAGCTTTTGGACCTAATTTTTGCCATCTAGCTTTCAGAAAGCAGGTTCTTACATGTCTGCTCAACTTTTTTACACCAACTTTGTGTGTGGACATTTATATGGATGGGTAACAGACTTCTTATATAAAAGAAATGTCCCTCATAGGGTTTGTGCAGGTGCTTTCATCTGCACAAGAGGAAGACTGGGTTCAAAGCCCTCTGAAAATCACTTTCTTAAAAGCATGATTTGGTAGGGCTATTCTTCAAAGGCTGTTCTTCCACCAAGCATGGAGGTAAGCAGAAGCAACAGAAAAGCCCAGAGACCCTGCAGCTTCAGAAGAGTTAAAAATTCCTATTTGCTTTAGGGACTTCTAGTCAAACTTCTCACAGCTTGTCTGCAGGAGAGGAGTGGGGACTGTTGCAGGATAGAAGGAAATAACACAGATAGGCTGCCCATCTTCTGCTGAAATGGAAAAAGAACAATTTTTGCTACATTTTTGCATCAGTCTATAGATTAAGGACTTATAAAGAACCTTAGATAATAACAGAGGAAAATAACAAAATTAAATGCTGTTTTGCACTATGGCCATTCTGAATAATTATATGCTTTGTGAGTGTTGCATGTATTTTATTCTGTTGATTCAGTAAAAAAACATTACTGATAATTAGTTGGCCCACGAGAACATACTAAGCAACCTCCCTCCACCCACCAGTTCTAAAAGCATTTTTAAATGAATATTAATATAAATATCAACTACCACATAAAAAGGAAGCAAGCAGAAATTCAGTAAAATTATCAGAGATAAGTGGGAGATCAGAAAATTGCTTCTATTATAAGCCTTCAGCTTGCTGTTTTGCGAGATGTATTGGATTCAATAGCTGAAAGAACTTGTTTAATGGGAGGTGGTGAGTGACATTTGGGTCACTACTGACTGCAGGGAGCCTCCTGACAGGTTGTGGTGTCTCAGGCAGGAGGAGCTGCCCTGGGCAGGAGGGGAGGGCAGGGTCTGGGAAAGGCTCTTCAGCTGCCTTCTTCCCTCAGCAGCCTCTTCGTTGCACTTTCTGCTTCTAGGATTCTCTCCAAGCACTGCCAAACGTGTTCAAAAGAATATTTAAAATATACAATGATAATTTTTTCATTAGGTCTCTTAGTGTGTGATTAATTCCCATTTAACTAATGGCCACACATCTTGCTAAATCCCTCCTGCAGTCTAAAGCAGACCTGCTAGGTTTGAATGCCCACAGGTTACCCCAGATTGGGCATTTAACCGTGGATAACATAAGTACCCTGGAAGGGTGACCTGCCTGAGCACTTGAATTGCATGAAAGGCTTTCCTGTCTGTCACGCTACCAGAAAGGAGAAAGGCCATTGAGCATCAATAGAGATGATTTGCAGGAGAGACGATTTGGAACCATTTCTCTGGGTAATTTTCCAGCTGAAAAAAAACCAACACAACAAATCCTTCCTGCAGCATTGAAATCTTTCATGAGAAAAGTCTTCTTAGTTCCTGCGAGCCAAAGAGCTGTCATTAACTACAGGAAGAGCTGTTGCCCTGTGCCTCTGCAGCAGTGGTGGGGAGGAGGGATGGGGAGAGAAGGTGAGTGTCTGAACGGGTTTGAGCAGGAAACCTGAACGGTGGGGTTTACCAGTGACAGGACCTGCCTGCAGGATGCTCAGAAGGAAATTGCTTTACAGAATCCTTCTGTAATCTTTTTTCTTGCAGAAAAAGCTCTCTTTTTATTTCTCCCCTGCTTCAGGAGATTTTTTTCTTTTCCTCAGGGATGAAGCTACACTTTCTGCCCAGTTCTAATCCTGTATTTTCCAGTTTAGGGATTGTATAGTTCAAAATTAATACTTAAAAATTGAGTTGACTTTAAGTGAAGACTCCAGCCAATGTCACAGTAGAGGTGTAGTGTATTTCATACAGAAAACAGATCAGTGTCCTTTACTTCATTGCTGATTGCTTAAAATTTCCAAAATTTCCACATTGAGCACATGTTGCTGTAACCCAGCATTTAAGGACATAAATCTGTCTTTTCTGTACCTGCAGTCAGGTACAGAAATATGTTTTTTTTAGTATAAACAGGACTGATCTTGCTAGTGCCACTTCTTTCTCAGGTATTCTGCAGTTTAAAGAATAAACAAATTCATTGCAATTTAAAAAATCTCACATGTAAAGTTGGGTTTTATCTTAAATCAAAATACAGCAATAGTTAAGACAGAATCTAAATGATGGAAGCCATTAGTGTATTGTAAGGCTTTTTGTTTGACTGGCATTAAGCAGCACTCTGTTCTAGATCCTGCAGATAGTATTTTGAAAGCTGTGTGATTGTGTGTGTTTCTCAGCAGTGGCTTTGCATGAAAAAAGTGGCCTGGTCCTTTCCTGTATGCAAATAAATAATGCATTCCTGTATCAATTTTATTATCTGATGTGTAAGTACTTCCCTAGGCTGTCACGCTGCCTTTTCGGTTTAGGGAAAACACAGGTTAAAAGTAAAACAAACTGATGAAAGGGTGAGTGATGTTTTACTGATTAGCTTGGACAGCTTTAGTCTGTGAGGTGGAATTTTCCATGTTAAGGTTTTCCTGAATCCACCCAGAGCCTCCAGATTGTTTCTGCATTGGTGTTTGCTTGACTGAGTGTAAATTTTAAGCAGCTGATGAAAAGAAGTAACACTGAACCTCTCATTCTTCCTGGAAGAGCATGGGTTCAGGCTGGCCTGTTCAGGTGGCTACTGAAGAGGAAAATAAGCACCTAAGCCTTCTATTGATTGACTGATGTATTTTTTTTCCCCCAGTTTCCTAGCAATGCATATGGTCATGTTTCTGTTTCTGTATATTTCATCTGGATATTGTCCTCTCCTTGTTTCCACATTGCAACTGTCACTCTGGTGAACTGCTAGAATATCCCAGGTGGGCCATCAAAGTTGTTTTTAGCACTTGCAGTGCTAACAGAACACATTTCTGCCACTTGCATGAGGCTGGTGCTTTCTGAGTGTTTATACTGTTTGTGGAAAAGATGAAAGAAATGTCATGGTTTTATCTAGTAGTTTGTTAACAGCCAATAATGTTAGGTTTTAACACAGCTACTGCCTTCCTTTTAGGATAAGCACTAATAATTTTTTCACTTGATGCAGATATCTTAAGCCAAGGCATTTTATGATCACAGTCATACTGTGAGCCAGTTAAAATACCAGTATCCTATCATATATTCATGGACTTTAAGGCTGGAAATGTCACTTGGCCATACAGCCCACTAGCATTTCCTGAATTAATTCCCATATGGAGCATACCTTTGGGACATTTAGGCTTAATTTACAGCTTTCCAGTGGCTGACATTTTGCCTAAAGATTTGTAAATTATGCCAATAGCTCATCAGTTGTTGTTCAAATACATGTCTAATGTCTTAACTGAAAAAATTAGCTTCAGTTTCCAGCTGCTGAAC